CTTCTACTCCAGGATAATCCTGGAGGTGAAGAACAACCCCAGGCTACTGTTTTCTACCACATCCCGACTCCTCCGTCCCCCCCCGCCACCCCGCGCAGGTCATCTCCTCCAACCTTCACTGCGAGGAGATGCTGTATTTCCTTGAATCCAAAATCAAGGGAATTCGCTCCGCGGTCACTTCCCCTCCAACATCCACCCACCCCCCACCCCCTCCCTCCCACACTCCGACTCCTACCCATCCTCCCCTACACACTTTCGTACCCGTTTCCCCACCCTCTGTTACCAAACTCATCCTATCCCTGAAACCTACCACCTGCTCCCTTGACCCCATCCCCACTTCCATCACCTCCGGAATATCGCCAGTCTACGGCACTACCTCACCCCTCACACTGCTGAAACTCTGGTCCACGCCTTTATCACCTCAAGGCTGGACTATGGGAACTCTCTCCTCGCCGGCCTTCCCGGCACCTCCCTCCACAAGCTGCAGGTCATTCAGAACTCTGCAACTCGTGTACTGTCCCGCACCAGGCTTCGGGACCACATCACTCCCACCCTCGCTCGCCTCCACTGGCTCCCCATCCCCCAGAGGATCGAATTCAAGATCCTCATCCTCACCTACAAGGCCATTCACGGCCTTGCTCCCTTCTACCCTCTCCGACCTACTATCCCCCTACTTACCTGCCCGTACCCTCCGTTCCTCTGGCTCCGGTCTGCTCCACATCCCCCGCCCCAACCGCCCTACCATCGGTAGCCGGGCCTTCAGCCTCTCAGCCCCGAGGCTCTGGAACTCCATCCCCCAGTGCCTTCGCCGCCTCCTCCCTTTCCTCCTTCAAGGCCGGTCTCGAGACCTTTCTCTTTGACCGTGCCTTCAGCTCCCCTCTCGACTCTCTACCCCCTCCTCGCTCCCTCCCTTCCCTCCCCTCACCCTGACCATTTCCCCCCTGCTCGGGTTCCGACCCAACTGTACAGCGCCTTGGGACATCCTCCCGACATGAAAGGCACTCTATAAATGGAATGTTGTTGTTGTTGTACCTCTTCAAACTCACTTATGGCTAACCCCTCAACTTTCCTTGATCGCCATCTAACTCTGTTACTAGAAACCATGGAACTCTGTCTCATTCCCTCCGCCTTGCCCCCTCCTTACCATCGTGAGATTGACCTGAAGACCTTTCTCTTTTCCTACGATCATCTCCCCTCTCTCCCCAGCTTGGCAACAAAGCTCTGTCACTATTAAGCTTGCTGAGATGCTACACACAAGAAGGATGCTAACTAAATGCAAGTTGTTGTAGTTTTCTGTAAAGTGCTCCAGGACGTTACTCTACATGAAGAGCACTGTGTAAATGCAAGTTGTTGTTGCACTACATATAAATATCTGAATTCCCAGATTCAGTGGAAGGCAGTTAAATTCGCAAATGGTAAGCTAGCTGTGGAATCAAAGGAGATAGCTAGATCTTACAGAGAGAGCTTGATAGGGTCAGTACCTGGGCTAAGCATTGGTGAAGGAAGTTCAATGCAGATAAATGCAAAGAATGATTAATAGGAAGTAAAAATAGGAGAAAAAAGTATTCAATCATAAGGGACGTAAATTGAATGAATGATATATAGGAAGTAAAAATAGGAAGCAAAAGTATTCAATCATAAAAGGTTAACAATTGGGTATAAGCTCAGAATTGTCATTGAGGAGATTTGAAGACATTTTCCATGCAGAAGTTATTAGAATATATTAATCCTTTTAATTATTGCATTTGATATAGCACCTTGCCATGTTGCCGAGAAATATATTGTGAAATTGTTTGACTGTTGGTATTTTGTAAACGAAGGACAGTGTGGCCAGTCTCATAATCAGCCACAGAAGTGAGTAACCAACTTTTTTTTATTTTGGAGTCTTTCTTGGCCAGGGAGAAACTCGCTTTTCTTTTCGAGCAGCCCATAGAATCTTTACCATCCACCTAAATAGGCGAACAAAACCTTGGTTTCATGTCTCATCCGAAGAACGACACCTTCTACAATGCAACACAGCCCCCAGCACTGCATTGGAGTGTCAGTTTAGACTATGTGATTCCAAGTCCCGACGTGGGGCTTGAACCCACAACCTTCTGACTCAGAGGCGAGAGTGCTACCACTGAGCCAGGCTGAAAATATGGAATATTTTGCCACAAGTTGTTACTGAGTCTAAGACCACAATATTTAAAAGATTTAAAAAAGAATTGGATAACAAATTTGAAGGGGAAATATATCAAAATGTACAGGAAAGAGCACGGAATTGGCATTGGTAGTGAGCACCAGTGGCTGAGCTCACACCAAGTTAGGCTTATTAGGCGAAATGATCTCCACCTCTGCTGTAATTGTTATGGTTATAATCCACAGATGAAATATAAAGTGCTAAGGTGAAAGGTGTGTTTGAAAAAACCTGACTCATTGCTCACCATGTTTGAACAAAGTGAGGTAGGAATAAACAAGTGAATCATTGTTTTGGCTACATTGCCTAATCAGCTGAGTTGAGATGTCATGTTCAAGCTGTACATTTCTCTGGACAAGCTGCAAATCCAACATGGATTTGTTAAAGGCAAATCTTGCCTAACAAATCTAATAGATTTTTTTGAAGAGGTGACTGCGAGGGTTGATGAGGGAAATGTGGTGGACGTTATTTACATGGATTTCAAAAAGGCTTTTGATACAGTACTGCATAAGAGATTAATAAAAAAAATAGAGGCCCACGGTATTAAGGGACCAGTGGCAGTTTGGATTAAGAACTGGCTGAGTGACAGAAAGCAGAGGGTGATGTTTAATGGGTGTTTCTCGAAATGGAAGGAGGTGTGCAGCGGTGTCCCCCAGGGATCGGTATTGGGACCACTGCTCTTTCTAATATATATTAATGATTTGGACTTGGGCATAGAGAGCACTATTTCCAAGTTTGCAGATGATACAAAGTTAGGTAGGGTAGTAAATAGCGAGGGGACTGTAACCGACTGCAAGCAGACATACACAGAATGGTGGAATGGGCTGACATGTGGCAGATGGATTTCAGTGTGGATAAATGTGAGGTGATACACTTAGGTAGGACAAATGATAGGAGGCAATATAGACTTGGTAGCTCAATCTTAAGGGGGGTGAACGTACAGAGAGATCTGAGTGTTCAAGTAAGCGAATCATTAAAGGTAGCGGGACAGGTAGATAAGGCAGTAAAAAAGGCATTTGGTGTACTGAGCTTTATTAGTAAGGGCATAGAGTATAAGAGTAGGGAGGTTATGGTTAATCTCTACAAAACACTGGTTAGGCCTCAGCTGGAGTACTGCGTCCAGTTCTGGGCACCTTACTTCAGGAAGGACATTAAGGCACTGGAAAGGGTGCAGAGGAGATTCACGAGAATGATACCAGGAATGGGGAACCTTAGCTATGAGGACAGGCTGGAGAAGTTAGGACTTTTCCCATTAGAGCAGAGAAGGTTACGCAGGGACCTGATAGAGGTCTTCAAGATCATGAAAGGTTTCGACAGGCTAGATAAGGAAAAGCTGTTTCCGCTGGTAGGTGTGTCTGTGACTCGTGGTCACAGTCTTAAGATATCTACCAAAAGAAGCAGAGGGGAGGTTAGAAGAATTTTTTTGACTCAGCGAGTTGTTCGAATTTGGAATGATCTGCCTGAAAGGGCAGTGGAATCCGATTCGGTAACAGCTTTTAAGAGAGAACTGGATAGGTATCTGGGGAAGACGGGTTTGCAGGGTTATGGGGAGAAAGCTGGTGATTGGGGTTAGTGAAAGTGACTTGCTCTGTCAAAGAGCCGGCACAGACTCGATGGGCCGAATGGCCTCTTTCTGTGCCGTAACATTCTATAAATCTATGAATCTATGAAAAATGTATGCAGATTTTATGTCACACTGTATAACATAAGGGACGGCTAAAGACACAAGGCAGAGCAAGAAGTATGATCCTCAATTTGGAGTTATTAGAGAGGAAAGTTCATCTGGGCTTTTTTAGCCTTGAAAGAGGCATCCCAGATGGGCCCTTATAGAGATATATTACATCTGGGCTCGAATACTCCAACTCTTTGCTTGTCGGCCTTCTCAACTCGACCCTCCACAAGCTGCAGATCGTTCAGAACTCGTGCTCTCTCTCCCATCAGGTTCTGTGACCCTATCACCCCACCTTCCCCCAGCTCCACTGGTTCCCCATCCCCCTGAGGATAGAGTTAAAAATTCTCGTCCTTGCCTTCAAAGCCCTGCCTGGCCTTGCTCCTTTCTACCCCGGTGATCTGCTAATGTCATATCGATCTGTCCGCTCCCTCCATTCAGCAGGCTCCGGCCTGGTCCGTGTCCCCTGCCCAACCCGATCTGCCTCACCATCAGCGTTCAGGCCTTTAGTTTCTCTGCCTACTCTTTGGAACTTCCATGCCCTTTGCCCTTTGCCTTGCTCCCTCCCTTGCCTCCTTCAAGCCCTGTTTCAAGACCGCCTTTGGTCACCCTCCAACCCTTACTCTCCCTGCCTTCCACCCCTCCTGATCCCAACCCCCCGCCCGCTGCTGAGGTCCAAATCCCTGACTGTTCAGTGCCTTCACATTTTACAGTAAGTCTTGTTAAGTACTTTGAGACATTTTGACGACTGGATCTGGTGCTAAATCAAATGCGAGCATTATTACTGTCTTCATTACAACTGGAACAGATCAACAGGAAGGATGAGCACTTATTTCAAGGAGCAGCAAGAAGGGTACTCTGGAAAGACGAGCCAATAGAATTCGGGTAGTGCACTTGTGAACACTGGCTTGGGAGATCAGGAACGAGGGAATGCCAGACCGACGGAAAACTACAATCCCCAGAAGTCTCCGCGCGAGCAGCCGGGGTCCACCACCGGGCGGGCGGTCGTGGGATTGGCAGGTGATGCAGCCAATCGGAGCGGGGGGCGGCGCGATTGACAGGCGGCGCAGCCAATCCGGGCGCGGCAAAGCGAGAGCCAGGCATTTCTGGTGCCCGAAAGCGGAGCCGCGGAGAGGGACTCGCGCTGTCGGCAAACACTCGGGACAAGTCGCAGCGGCCCCGGGTCTCATGGTCGGTGCCAGTCTGAGCCCCATTTTTACTATTTTCTTTTTTTAAAAAAAGATATGTTTATTGTTAATAATAATAACCATTGACCCTCAGCTGGCGCTGTGCTGAGTGGCTGAGGGTGTGTGTGTGTGTGTGTGTGTGCAGCGAAGTGGAGTAAAGGTCATTGTCAAAGGTCACTGTTTGGAGGCTCTTGGGCTTTGCACGTTTGTCCTCTGTCTGTGTCTTCCCCCCTCAGACTCGCAGTGTTTTTGCAGCTCCGTCGGTATCCCCCTGTGTCGCTCACTGCTGTCACCAGAAGATGTTGCAAAATACGGGGTAAGCGGTCTGTGAAAAACACCCGACACACATCACACACTCAACGCCAAGGTTTGCTATTCACAAAAATAGAATATGCAAGAGTCAGGTCTGTGGAAAGTATCTTTCTCCTCATTGTTTCCAATGCCTCCAAACTATACTGATTAAAATGGCACAAGCATTTTTAAAGAGATAAAAACATTGCAATAACTTAGCTGTGGCCTAAATACAACAACAACAAAATTACATCTGTAGAGCGCCTTTCACGTCGGGAGGACGTCCCAAAGCGCTGAACAGTCAGATGTCGGGGCCCGAGCATGGGGGAGGGGTGGGGTAGGGGAGAGGGAAGGCAGAGAGGTGGGAGGGCGATCGAAGGCACGATCGAAGAGGAGGGTCTTGAGACCGGCCTTGAAGGAGCCAAGGGAGGAAGTGAGGCGAAGGGACCGTGGGATGGAGTTCCAGAGTGTGGGGCAGAGAGGCTGAAAGCCAGGACACCGATGGTAAGGGGAGTCGGGCGGGAGACATGGAGCAGACCGGAGCCTGATGAATGGATGAAATACAGCAACTATTTTTGCATTTAAGTATTACAGTTTAATTGTAAGCGTATGTTTCATTTTGTTTTGAATAAAGCAGTCTTTATTAAGTAACAAGGAATGTTATAGTTTACATCAAACAACAACAAAACAAGATTTTCAAAGTATATAAATAGATGGGGTTAATGGTTTACAGCCCAATAATTCTCTTGTTTCCTTTTAAGAGTTTGATAAAAGAAGAATAAGCTACAATTGTGCTTTATTAAAGGATGTCTTTGAGACGTCTCAAAGCGCTTCACAGAATATACTGTAAAGTGAATTGGCCATATATTTTGTGGGCGAAACGCAGCAGCCAATTGCGTACAGCAATGTCCCACAAACAGTCGTGGATTGAAGTGACCAATTTTTTTTAAAGAAATTATTACGCCCGGAAAAGCAATCCGCCAATCGACTAACAGCCAGGTTCCTACTTACTGCAAGGTAAACAGAGGTGTGTGAAGTAAGGAAACTTGCCCAACATTTTGCCCTGCCGGAAAATGAATCACTGAGCTACAAGACTCCATATGCAGCAAAGTACAATGTTGTGATTGGAATATGAATTTGATTGAGCAGATTTACACCCTATCCATTAGTGAGATGCTTTCAGACTGGCTTTGGGTAGTTAGTTGACAGTTTGGTTTCGTGCTCATAAAATTACCTTTTAATAGAAGATGAGGGCTGTTTTAGCATAAGCAACAGTATTGCGTGTTGACAATGAAAATCTAAGGATATTTAACTTGTATGTGAGAATTATGAACAAAGTACTAAACTGACGTGCCTGAAAAGTGTTCGGAGTGCCAAGAAACTTCCCCTTCAGGTGTTATTGACTACAGCAGGTTCCCCCCCCCCCCCCTCACCCCAACAAAGTGAAAATCAGATAGAAAATTGGTTAATTTCTCCAAAAATAGAAGTGTTTTCATGGATGGTTACAAATGGGATTGATAAACAGGTAAATATTAACTGATTTTGTTTTGGTCAGCCAGGGTCGAAACACCCAGAACCCGTCACCATGCTTAAGAGTATCCAAACCAGACTAAAATATCCACATATGTATGACATTTACGTATGGAAATTGCAGTGTGTCTGGAATGGAACATTCACTTTCTCCCTGGAGAATATTAGGCACGACTTGGCAAGAGCCAAGGCTTGGGGACCGCAGTGTGTCTTTTCTTCCCCACATCCAAGCCATGACCCGCTCTGCTTTCCCTCACCTCCGTAACATCGACCGACTCCGCCACTACCTCACCCCTCAGGCCGCTGAAACTCTTGTTCATGCCTTCATCACCTCCAGGCTCGACTATGCAAACGCTCTGCTTGTCAGTCTTCCCAACTCCTCCCTCCACAGACTGCAAATAATCCAAAACTCTGCAGCCCGTGTCCTCTCCCACACTAATCTCCGTGACCCCATCTCCCCCATTCTCGCCCGACTCCATTGGCTCCCTATCCTTCAGAGGATCCAGTTCAAGATCCTGGTCCTCACCTACAAAGCCCTCCATGGCCTCGCCCCACCTTACTTCTGCGACCTCCTAACCCCCTACCAACCCGCCCGTTCCCTCCGCTCAGCCAGCTCGGGCCTGCTCTATGTCCCCTGATTCACCCGCCCTACAATTGGCGGGAGAGCCTTCAGCCACTCTGCACCCAACCTCTGGAATTCCATCCCCCAATCACTCCGCCTCACCCCCTCCTTAGCCTCCTTCAAGTCCCGCCTCAAGACCCTCTGCTTCGACCATGCCATTGGCCACTCCCCTTCCCCTCCCTTCTCCCCCTCGACCCCTGCTTGGGTCTGAAATGCTGTACACTGTCCAGCGCCTTGAGATGTCCTCCCGACGTGAAAGGCGCTATACAAATGTAATCTTGTTGTTGTTGTTGGGGATACTGCTGGAATATAACCAGTTAAATCTACATAGCTTGCCATTGAAAGCACTATCTGGCAAGCTTCAGTGCAACACACTGCAGCACTGCACTGGTTTGTCAGCTTAGACTTTGTAAATTCAAATCCTTACAAACCCACAACCTTCTGACCCAGAGGCGAAAGTGCTACCACTGAGCCAGGTTGACTAACTCACGATTACAATGCACAGGGTGAGATAATCGAATGTGCAGGCATGCTAGAACTTTTAAATTCATGCTTTACTCCAGTTTTCAAGATAGAAAGAAGTAAGCTAACACCTGGACACAAGCTGTCTAGCGTTGCCAATTGTAATTGTGAGTGCAATTAATTGTAAAGGAAACCGCAAACTGGAACTGAGTCAAACAGTCTGTATATGTGAATGTTTTATTATTTGGATGTAAGCTCTCTGGATGTTGTGCCACAGACAAAATGATGAATGGAAGTTTTGAGATTCTGTTCTGGCTTCACATTCATATGCAAAGTAAGTTGCAAATGAGGACCAAATTTGCCTGTTGTTCAGATGATATTACTAAATTCCTATATAATCCTACAGTAACAACTACAACAGTTCATATGGAGCCTTTCGTGTCAAGAGGCCAGTTAGGAGTGAAACCAGGAAGCATCTTTTTCACACAAAGGGTTGTGGAAATTTGAAATTCTCTCCCCAAAATGCTGTGGATGCTCGGTCAATTGAAACTTTTAAGAGATTGATAGATATTTGTTATGTAAGAGAATTGAAGGATATAGAGAAAAGGCAGGTAAATGGAGTTTAGGTACAGATCAACCATGATCTGAAAGAATTATGGAACATGCTCGAGGGAGGTGGGGACTCCAGGATGCAATGAGGTCAGAATCGGTGAGTGAGATTTCAACCATTTTGCCCATACCATTCTGAAATCCCTTTGCCTTTCTCCATCCCTCACTCCGTTTAAAGTCTATCTCTTTGACTACACCTTCTGCCACCTCCCCCCTACCCTTCTATCTCCCACCCAATTCAAGTTCCCTTTCAGTTTCTGTAATGCGCTTTGAAATGTTGTCCTTTGTGAAAGGCTCTCTATGCGGCACTTGTTGTTGCTTGGGATATGAAATAGCCCTAGTGACTTAGACGATATGCCTACTACCCAACTGGAGGAGGAAGAGGGTGTTTCTTTTTATATCAGAGTATAAATATAGCTTTTGTATAGTGTATATCTATAGCTTTGTGTAAAGATTTACAAAATCATTATAAAATGATTTTTACTATGAAGCTGAAAGCTTTCAAAGAGCAGTCAGTTGGGAGTTCTCTAGAGTGCTAACTGTTCAGTCACATTCAAAAAATGTATTCAGATTATTTTATAAGAATTAAATTGGATATTTACCTACTAACCAATACAGTCCAATGCACATATTCAGTGTGTTTGCCAGTCCATTGTAGTCAAGCCTTGTGATCTGCTCTCGCTGGTCTATTGTCAATTGTACGAGTCTGTATCTGGAAAATGTGATTTTTGAACAATGATTTTAGCAAATAATGTACAGTCTCCCATCTTCCTTTTATTTTAAAATACTTTTGTGTATCGACCACAAATTCCAGCTTTGTCAGCATACAGGAGTTGGAGATCAATGCCCTGAGTGCAGGAATACAGGAGCCAAGCTACTGTTGGCAGTCGCTAAGCCAGTGTGTAATCACAAAGAGCAATTTGGACTTGAATGGAGTCTTTCATGTTGGGGGAAAGTCTTAAAAGACTGAATGGGAGACGAGCCGGAAAGTAGATAGGGGGAACAGCGAAAGGCACAGGCAAAGAGAGTCCTTTATTTGGAGTTTGAAAGCAGAGACTGGTTGAGGCGAGGAATGTTGGAAGAGGGTACCAGAGGGCGGGGGTTAAGTGACCGATGGTGGGCTGGAGTGGTGAGGGGCATGAAGCAGGCCAGAGTTAGAGCAGAGGGAGTGGCCTGGGGTGTAGGACTACAGTAGACTGCGAAGGAGAATGAACAACTAAATTTTGCTGTGGTCCAGTCAGGTCTGCTGGTAGCCTGTGAAGGCAGACTTGAGGCACTTGCTCTCTGATGCATAAGCTTTGGACTTCAGAGAGTCAAAGCGATTATGAAAGCGGGTGGCGGGGTGATGGTCGGTGAAATTTTTGTCCTGGTAGAGGAGCCTCAATGAGTGGGAAGGTGCTGTCAGGGAGTGCCAGGTTTCAGTGCGACATAGGATACAGCCCTACCCAGGACACAGCCCAAATCAGTTCAGCCTTTGTGGTGATAGTTGTAGTGTAATTATGATAATCATCATAGAAAAATTTAATCTTTGCATTGATATGACACCTATCATATGAGCTAAACATGGGCAAGACTGAATCTGTCTTCCCCCCAAAGTGTATCTTCTGGCTCCAACTTCCTCAACCTTCCAGGTCCCTTTCTCTAATTTATTTAATCAGAGCGTTTACATTGACTACCGTCTATCTTTCCTCTCTCACATCTGGTCCCTGACCTAGATTACTTCTCTGTATCTTTGTCCCAACACCTGCCTCCATCCCTGTCCAATAGTCACCTCCAAGCTCAACTTTTCCTTGCCGGCCTCTCCAGTTCTAGCTCATCCATAACTCTGCTGCCTGCATTTTTACCACACAAAATAATGCAGGCGCATCCTCACCAAGCTCCAAGTAGATCAACTTCAAGACCTTCGCTTTCACATGCAAATCTCTTCATGCCCTTGCATCTCTCTACCTCTCTAGTCTGCACCAGCGTCCCATTTCTGCTCACACCTCCACTCAGCAAACTCAGACAATTGAACAATTTAACTGTAGGCTTGTTGGCCAGGATATCGAGAGAAACTTTCTGCACTTTTCGAATAGTGCCACGGGATTGTTCACGTCCATCTGAGTAGCCAGACAGGACGACAGTTTAACTTCTCATCCAAAGAACAAGACAATGCAGTGCTCAACCTAGACTGTGAACTCAGATTTATATTTTTATTGATCATATGTGAGTGTGATCAGAATTCCAGGAATGCTACCTTAAAACCTCCTTCAGCAATGGTTTCCTGGAGAAACCGGCAAAGCGTGTTGAAACATTGGAGGTTAAAAGCACCACCAAAGTGCAAGGCAAAATTATTAATTTTAATAATAGGGATTATTACTCTAAGCTTCACATGAGCCTCCTATTCCCTTCTATTCCTGTCTCCCTCATGTTTGCAATGAAGCTTGTGAGGCTTTGGAGTGCTGGAGATACCTCACATTGGGTGTCTTAGTGTGAATGTTGAGATCTGATGTTAAGGTTGAGGTCGTGTCTACTTCAATTCTCGCTGTCACTAATCTCAGACTCTACACCGGCTCAGTAACTAACCCAAAATCAGCAAAGCAAAACTTGCTGTCGTTTATCAATTTATTAACCAGTCTTTGTGAAGCAGGATTTTAATCCTAAGTGCTATTTTTTTCTTCATCTTTCTTCCTAATCTTCAAAGTTGATTTGGAGCCCAGTCAGACCGGCTGCCTCACACTGTTTACATTTCAAATCAGACCTCGGATTTTTTTTTTACCCCCAAAAAATTCTTCACTGCACTATCCAGGTTTAGGAGGGTCTGATATTAACAGCTGCCTTTGACTGTTGCTACATTCAATGCGATTGCTCTCTGTACTGATTATAACCACAGTACGTGGACTGACTGTTTAAAACCTTATGCGGCTGGTACACATCTCCTGATGCCTGTGCAATGCCACCAAACCTTCATGAACTCAATGCATTAGCTTACCCTTCACTTTTATAGCAAGCGTGGAATCCCATCTCCTTAAAGTTTTATAGTATTTTAAAGTTTATGCCTGTTGTAATTTGATAAAACCTGTTTGTCCCATAGTAAAGAAGGAACTTGAATTCTTATAGCCCCTTATCTCGAAATGTCTCAAATATACAGGAATCGGTGTTAAGTGCTGTAACTTTTTTGTAGTACTATATCAATCTTTATCTCTTGGTCCTATGGGAAACTTGCAGTGAGCTGGTTTATACTTTATATGTACAATGACTTTCATACTTTGTAGCAGGGCTAGTGTGAATTGATCATTAATGATGAGACCTTTTTCACCCTCCCACCCAGACAGCAGTGACCATGGCTGACAAGTTACGTGTTTGCTTACTTTGCTGGTCTTATCAGTACACAGATGTTGAAACCTCTGAAATGCCATAAATATTGCTGCGTATCTACTTCAGCCTTTATAAAGGTCAGCCTTTCCCCTTGGTTTGGAGGTGAACATTTTCAAGTTCCAGTTAACTCAGCGAATCCTCTATCCCAGCTCTGACGGCTCAATTCCCTTGTGTCCATCTTGTGCTGCAGGACCTTAGCTCCTCCGCGCTTAGTGTAAAGTGCTCACCTTCTCAGTGGTTCTTATGAAAGTGGAGACTTTTCAAGTTTTGAAACTTTGTGCATTGTATGAATCAATGGCCTTTTATAGGAGCTGAATTCCATTTTCCATGGTATAATTGCAGTGTATGTTTTTACATTATAAAAATCTCAATATAGTATTGTGTTAGAATGAAAGTCAGTTCATCAGTTTGAATCGGGTGTGAGAACAGTGAAAAAATCAACCTTTTCAAGCTTGGTTTTAAAGAGAGATTTTGCAGGTGAACTGCTGGACATTTTTTTAAACGGGAGTATCAAGTTTACTGTCTCATCAACTCGGTTATTTTTTCCTCAACTTTTTCTACGCAGCCCTTCTTTCGTTAAGGAGTTTGACTCCATTTTTATTTACTGGAGTACAGTTTCCAGGTGCCCTCGATGACTTGATTAAGTGTCCATTTATAGTATATGTAAAACATCCTTGTATTTGATTTAGCCGCTATGCCAACTATATCAAAGTGCTTCAGAGTTTATTCAGTGAAGTGTAGTGATAATGGATTTATAGGTGAAAGTGGCAGCAAATTTACGCACAGCATTGTCCAAAAAGAGTTTTGAACTGAAGGACCAATTTTTCCTGGAAGATTATTGGCCAGCACACCAGGAGAAACTCCCTTCTCTTTTCAAATAGTGCCATGAGATCTTTAACATCACTGTGAGAGTTCAAAGGCTCAATATCGGCTTGAACCTAATAACCTTCTGACACAGAAGCAAGAGTGCTAACAAATGAGTCGGACTATTTGAGGCTTGAGTGTTGACAGGGTATTTGACTGCCTGATTGTTACATTGCTGTCTTTGGTTGATAACTAAACATAGTTTCGCACATTTTCGCCATGTGATACCACAACACATACCACTGCTGATGTCTTGGAGTTGGTTGCCTGTTGGGCTGAGGAAACGGGGAAAAAAAACAAATGCAATTGGACCTCATTTTAAAGTGGTGGCTTGGGTCCATAATAAGTGATATAATGTGTCACGTTATTAAAAACCACCGGCAGGTAGCACTTGTGGTTTTGTTAGGTTGCTGCTGATGGCAGTCGCTAAACCACTTTGTGCATCAGGAGTTGTTCATTCAATGGGGGACCATTCTCGTGAGCATTTCCAGTGCTGAGATCTTGGTAACGTTGCCAGGCTGCCCACTCACAGGAAGCAGGTCATTCAGCACCGAAAGCATATTGCACGTACTATGGGTTGATGGTGTGCCCACGTTATAAATAGATAACATTATACATTTGATGTGGGCTGACAGTACGTGTAGATTGAGAAATGTCTTGTGTGTAAAGTCTCTACACTTTAGTTTGCCTCCAAGTGCATTGACTAACACAATTGAAAGATGCTGCTTTTGAAGCCGTTATGTGATTTAACCTTTTAAAAGGGTCAGGGATTTTTTCTTCATGGTTGGAGGTTAGCGTTTTCAAGTACTCGATACATGTACCCTTTTATCAGGTTGCTGGAGCTGATGTTGGTGAGACCTGATGAATGACGCAGACTGTGTGATGTAAAGCACTTTACATGATGTCATTGAGATTGAGTAGCACTCTGCTATTTTATCACCTTCCTGTAACCTCCGATAAATTTGTCTTATAATGTATTTCAACCCCTACACTTACAAACCAGGAAACCCATTGATGTTTCTAGAGGATAGTTCCCTGAACAACTTTCAGTGTTTGGGATACTGAACAGGGAGTAGGTAAGTGGTGCATGGAAGCACCATTACTGAGTGACTAGCTATCAGTTACTGCTATGATGAGATTAACCTGAGGCTGGAACAAATTGTAAAGAGCAATGGAGTCAGTTTCAGAGTGATTTTGATCTTTTGGGGGAATCTGGGCCACGAGACTATAATAATCCCTTGCATTTGGTATAGCGCCTTTCACATCGAGAGGAGGTCCCAAACGGCTTCCCAGGATTTATGGTGAAGCGACTGTGTTTGTAGACAAATGGAGGTAGCCCATTTGCGCATAGTAATATTGCACAAACACCCATGAAATGAGTGACTAATTTTATTTGGCATATATATATATTATAGAGCCATCATTGAAGACCTAAAAGGAGACTTTGCTGTGGACACTTGGAACATACGCAGCCTGCTGATCAGTAACAGGAGTTTAGAGTTCTTGTGGAGAGTGTCGGGGCCAGCAGTGCAGTGTGTGGCCAGCTGCATTGAAAGTCAAAGCGAGTGAATTTCCATGTTGCATTAGCAAGGGGATGGAATCCGAATTGAAAGAGCTGGGAATGCTGCTCCGATGTGCAGATTTGACACTATCTGGTATACTGTATGCAGTTGTCTTTTTACTACTCTGGTCTCTTTACTGGGAAGGATGTCATTGCCCTTGGAAAAAATGCAGAATGTTCTTGTTCCTTGTCTGATCTCTTGTGCTAGAGCTACCTTGTCTGCCAGCAACAAGGTTAATTTCTCATCTCTCAGCTGTGACGATGGTTGTATAGTTTTGGTAATTGCATTAGTTTGTGTTTTTGGAACCCTAATGAATCCTGCTGTAAGCAACAGGCAATAGATTGTTGATAAATGTTTACAGAGATTGGACTCAATTGCCTCCTCCGATGCTATACTTTCTTTGATGCATGACTAGCAACTAAACGTTCGAGCGAAGATTATGGAGCAGTTTATGAGCTATTCGGATTGAATCATTTTGAGAAAGAGAAAAACACTTAATTATACCAAGTACAGGATGTCCTCTGGAACTTTGAAAGCTATTTCTGTCCGGAATAGCCTCATTCAAGATTACCGTTTCCTGTAAATTTGCAATTAAATATTTCTTGACTCTGCTTTCTTGACAAAACAGAATATTACAATTTTTTAGATAAAGTGCCACTGAAATAAGCTTGGTGCCTTTCTCCCTGTAGGAAACTAGCGGGATATACCATCTTCATCACAGGCGCCAGCCGTGGGATTGGCAAAGCAATTGCCTTGAAGGCGGCCAAGGATGGGGCCAATATCGTGATTGCTGCTAAAACTGCGCAGGCACATCCCAAGCTACCAGGCACCATCTATACCGCAGCACAGGAAAGTAAGTATGCAGCAGCAAGCAGTAAGTTGTCGACTCTTGCAGACACAGGCATCCATTTAATATTAAACGATGCAAGAGATGTGAGGGATTCATAATGCAAAGCAGTAGTTACAATTAGGGTAAAGCTGATCAGTAACCATTCCTTCTCATTCTACCATTCAAGGTTGTGAGAAAGTAGAAGGCTATAGATCCAGAATCCATTGAGATGCTTCAAAGTAAGAAAGATAAAACCTTCGGGAAGTAAGCCTTAAGGGATAAGGGATGGAGAAAAGCCGGGAACACCAACAACAACAAATTGCATTTGTACACTATATAGAAAAAAAGAGAAGAAAATAATTAAAGATAAAGATTGAACAGAATTAAAGATCTGCCATGACCTAATAAAATGACAGAACCAGTTCAGTGGGTTGAACAGCCTCCTGCTCCTATCCCTGCTTGGGTATCTTCCAGTAGTTTGTAGCAGAAACCCTAGCTTTGCCTTTTCTCTTTACCCTTGGGACACGAGTCTGCATGGGCCAGCGTTGAGCTAACTATCCCTTTACTCATTGTGCCATTGGGAAAGAAAGTATAATATATTTTCATTGTATTCATATCCAGTGGACATTTTGTTTAGACCATGATGATAATTCCTCCCACCACATCCTCCACATAATGTACATCGGGCCGCTGTTTTTTCAAATATTGGTAAAGCGTTCTCTCCGGTCTAATGGGAGCTTGAAACATTTCAGTCATTGTAGAAAACCATAGTGTGGAACAGCAGGTTATGCATTTCACTTCACTCTGCACAGCACAGCTACTCCCCTAACATCCTTAGGTCCTGAATTAGTTCAATTTGCTTCCTAGAATTAGAACCAATTTGGAATAACTACAGCCCAACGTTGCCGTCAGTGGTTTCTTGGAGATGCACACTGTTAAATCTGGGGAATGACTCCTTTTGATACTTTTTCTTCCCCTTGGCCCCTCCACGCAGCAGCATAACTCAGTTTGGAGCCTCCAGAGGAGATGATGGATTGAACCCATGTCCTGTCACACTGTGAACGCTGCTGGGCCAACATTGCCCTCCCCTTTCATCTGTGTAAAGGTGGTAATTTGTTGAGGTACTGTTCCGTGCTGCTGACAGCTCTCTGCTATTTCACTCAAGTGGCCCTTTCCTCACATGTGGTGATGATGAGGGTTTGCAGACAATTCAGCCTTAGGGGGAGAAACTAAAGCAAGTTTTACCCTTATATCATATTTCAGTATTCACATTTTTAAAACCACCCAAAGCTTATGATATAATCTCAGCCCTTTAGCATGTTACCTGCTTGTCGCATTGCATAGCTTGCGTGTTTTCCTGTAATCGGCTCTCAAAGGGTACAATGGAAATGAAAAAAGTTAAATAATAATGAACCCATTTGATATCGTGCTTAACATGTTGAAACATCTCAAGCGCTCCCCTCAATGAGTTTCTTTGAAATCTATTGTCTGTTGTTGCACATACAAATGAAGCAGCGAATCTATGCCAGGGACATCCCATGAAGAGCAATGAGCTTGAAAGATCGATGATTCTATTTTTCATTAATTTGGATGAAGAAGGAATGTTGAACAGGAACTGAGAAACTTTGTTCTTCGGCACACTGCCATGCAATCAAAGTTTGCCCCAGTGGGTCACTTTGATTTCCTGCGGCTTGTGCTCCTGACATTGCTCCTGATGTGAAAGCCGCTATATAACTGTAAATTTGTTGTTGCTGTTAAGTCTTCAACGTCTTTACCTCCGGCTCTAAAAATACTTTGCTCTTCACCTTGCCCTTTAGGTAGATTGAGCTGTGTTGAAGTTGGTTATTATCCATCTATATTTCTGTAATCATGAACCTTTCGGATCAGTTGTCTAACACACATTATTATGTAGAAACTGAAAACTTTCAGTACAGAGGCCATTCGGCCTGTTGTGTCTGTTAGAAGCTGCTGCTGTCGGCTACAGCAAATGGAGGCCATGCTAGAGGAACAAAAAGCTCTGGAAAATTAGGCACATTTTGTGTTGCCAAATGCAAGTTACCCAGAGTTCTTCATAGGGCAAAGTTAGCAATTTGTGTTTGAAGTTCTGGGTCAGAAGGGTTGACCTCTTTTGTTCCTCCCTTGAGGTTGAAGGTCACTGGGTGTAATTTATCAGTGTGAGAGAGTTGGGTTTTGCTGTTAGCTGTCTCCATCTAAAGCACTTCAGCAAATAAAAGGCTCCAAAGTAGCGGGCTTGTGAATTTATTATGTCATGCACAGTAAAATATTGATTCATGCCTGGTGCTCAGAGTTCATACGCACTTAACACTTAATCCGTGCATCAGAAACTGTAGTGTGTTTTTTTTATTCATTTTTTTAAAAAAACATTCAACGTGAACATAAATCTTGGCTGGAAAGTGATCTGTGTTTACAATTAAGGTAGTGTTCTGTGTTTTGTCAAAAGTGGTTGCTATCTTTCTCCTCTCCCTCCTACTCCACTTCAAAAATCTGTAGTTGAGAGGCTGGGCAGTAGGTACCTTATGAACGTTTGCTGAATAATCATTTGACCTTCCAATATTTCCCTTTCTCCCCCCTACTTCCTATGGAGGAAGTTCCCCTTTCCTCCTTCCCCACTCAATGTCCCATTGTGAATGTCACTTTTACACTGAAAGGTTCCATAGGGATAATTGAAGAAACCCCTTTGCTGCTAATGTGACATTGTACGTGCAGCCCACATTGGTTATTTTAACAACAGATCCCACCTTAGAAACAACCTACAGAACCTGTCGGTCTTAGATCTAACTGATCTACTGTAGAGTACTATAGTGTAGTGGTTAATGCGCTCCCTTCGCAAGCGAGAGGACACAGGTTTTTGCAGGGCAAAACCTTAGGTAAGTTTCTTTGCTTCACCCGTCTGTTTACCTAGCAGTAGGTAGGAAACCGGTTGTTAAGTCAATTGGCGGATCTCTTTCCAGGGATAATAAACCCTCAAAGAAAAACTTGCTCAGTCAATCCCCTACTGTTTGTGGGACACTGCTGTGCGCAATTGGCTGCCTTTTTTCACCCAAGAAATTTGCATTCAATGTATTTTACAATATTCTGTGAAGTGCTTTGATATGTCTGAACGATGTGATAAGATGCTATATATCAAATCCAAGGATTATTATTATCTGTTGCGATGATGGGTTAGCGTTGACTAAATTTGCGATCAAACCAGTCGATACTGGTGACTGCTGATATCTTCGGGCTCAACCATTGCAATAACTTTGGAGGTTGGGGCACTCCACTAAAAATACTGGTTCATACTGACGTATGATTTTATGGGCGGCATATTTGACTGGGGTGTGGAGGGGGGGTGGAGAGAGCTGGGTCTAATCCTGCCCTTACACTGGTCATACAAGTACACCTGCCTGGGTGGTTCACTTCAACAGACCAGTAGCCAAGGAGCACTCGCGGAATCTTGTTTTCCCTCCTCAGATCATGGGTCCAGAGGTCAATTATGGTGTCCTGGCGCCAAGGTAATTTGTAACACAAATTGTAACACCCCAACTGATGCTGGGATAAAATTTGTTATTGAACTCAATCCAGGAACCGATGTGGATCAAAGCCAGGCTATTGGTAGAGCACTTTTTTTAAAAAAATGGGTGAAAGGTCCATTAATTGCTGCAAGCTTAAGGATGAGAAATGCGTCCATTCCTACTCCAGAGTTGCACACATGAATGCAGATTGCTTACTGAAAGTTGTCCCACTGATATGGTTGCATGTGACCTTGTGTGAATTCTGACCCAGATAATGTGAGTCACAGAGCACAAAGAGCAGCAGTCAGCAGCTGTGTGATACATAGGTGAAGGGCTCTATTTGTACAGTGTTCAGATGGGGGGGTAATGGCATTGGTGGGGAAAAGTACATTCCACTGACTTTCCTGCAGATTTTTCTTTGCTCAAAATGTGTGATTAAAGCACCCAGGAATTTTTAATTCACATTGACTGGACTAATTGCTGATAGAATCATAGAATCTTACAGCAAAGAAGGAGGCCATTTGTCCTATTGTGCCTGTGTAGGCTCTTTGAAAGAGGTATTGAATTCCCCCGCTCTTTCCCCATAGTCTTGCAATGTTTTTATTTTCAAATTGGGAAATGCCCAATTTCCTTTTGAAAGTTATTATTGAATTGCAACCAATTTCGCACAGCAGTGTTCCACAAACACTGTTAAAAAAGCGTACGGGATACTCGTCTTTATAAATAGAGGCATAAAATACAAAAGTCAGGAAATTATGATGAACCTTTATAAAACACTGGTTAGGCTGCAGCTAGTGTACTATGTTCAGTTCTGAGCACCACACTTTAGGAAGGATGTCAAGGTATTGGAGAAGGTGCAAAGGAGATTTACCAGGGTGGTACCAGAAGAGGCTAGAGACGCTAGGATTATTCTCCTTGGAGCAGAGAAGGTTAAGAGGAGACTCGATAGAAGTTTTCAAAATTATGAGGGGCTTCGATAGGGTGAACAAGGAGAAACTTATTTCCACTGGCGGGTGGGTCAGCAACCTGAGGAAACCGATTTAAAATAGTTGTTAAAAAAAATGGGCGGTGAGGAGAAATTTTTTCACACAGCGAGTTGTTCAGATCTGGAATGCGCTGCCTGAAAGGGTGGTGGAAGCCAATTCGATAACAGCTTTGAAGAGAGAAGTAGATAATTATTCGGGGAGGACAAGTTTACAGGGCTATGGGGAGAGCGCGGGGGAGTGGGATTGAACTGAATAGCTCGTTTCAAAGAGTCGGCACAGATACGATGGGTTGAAATGGCCTTCTGTGCTGTACAATTCTATGATTCTATGAAACAGTCGTGGATTGAGTGACCAACTTTTTTTGTTCTGTTTTTTTGAGGGATTATTACCCCAGAAAGCGATCTGCCAATCGACTTAACAACTGGGTTCCTATTTACTGCTAGGTAAACAGAGGTGTGTGGAGTAACCAAATTTGCCTAAGGTTTTGCCCCACCTGGCAATCAAACCTAGGTCATCTCACTTG